GGTCTTGGCTCACTGCAACCTCCACCTACCGGGCTCAAGTGATTCTCGTACATCAGCCTCCCCAGTAGCTGGGATTACAGGCATGTGCCATCACGCCCAGCTAATTTTTGTATTTTTAGTAGAGACGGGGTTTCACTATGTTGGCCAGGCTGGTCTCGAACTCCTGAGCTCAGGTGATACACCTGTCTCGGCCTCCCAAAGTGCTAGGATTACAGGCATAAGCCACAGTGTCCAGCCTTTTTTCATGATGAATTTTAAAAGATATGCTTTAAAACTAAAAATTACAAAACTTTCCTTCTGAAATTAAGGCTGTATTCTTTGCCCTTTTAAATTATGGAGGTGCCTGTTCCTCCTCCTATCTATGGTAAAGATGCAAACAGACACAACTTTCCTTTAAAACTGCTTATTGCACTAAAAGATAGCAAAAACAAGTTGTCAGTTCTTAAAATAAACATGATTATATTTTTATAAAAGATGCTGCCAATACAATTCTATAATTATTAAAGCACTATTCTAATAAATATAAAAGAAAAGGAAGCTATACTTCCAAACACATACATATGTGTTTATATACACACACATACATATATATATATAAAATATATGAAAATCACATTAAGGTATGAGAGGCAGCAAGTAAATTATCAAAAAACAAAACAAAGAAATCCCTCAACAACCCCTTCTCTCTCTCTATTCAATTTCAGAGGTCTCAACCCCTACAGAATTCTAATCTTTTAAAGTATTTACCCTTTATAAAAGCTTTAAAGAATTTCTGCGTATAACTCATAGAAACAGAAGGTTTCAGAAAACACATCACTTATCAGAGAGAAAGAGTTACAACTTCTGACAGGTTTTATATTTATAGCAGCTTTAACAAACTCACTAAAGAAAAAGAATAGCAGGCCAGGTGCGGTGGCTCACGCCTATAATCCCAGCACTTTGGGAGGTCGAGGCGGGTGGATCACAAGGTCAAGAGATCGAGACCATCCTGGCCAACATGGTGAAACCCCGTCTCTACTAAAAATATAAAAATTAGCTGGGTGTGGTGGCGCATGCCTGTAGTCCCAGCTACTCGGGAGGCTGAGGCCGGAGAATCGCTTGAACCCGAGAGGCGGAAGTTGCAGCGAGCTGAGATGTTGCCACTGCACTCCAGCCTGGTGACAGAGCAAGACTCTGTCTCAAAAAAAAAAAAAAAGAAAAAGAAAAGAAAAAGAATAGTTCAGGTTGCTACTGCTTATATACAAATTGCGCAAATGTATGTTCAGAGTGGGAGGGGAGAGACACACTCTCACAAAAAGTTATTTTACGTATATATATGTGTGTATGTGTCTGTGTATGTATGTATACTATATATATATAAAAGTTTGATTCTTAAGACAGCAATATCAAGAGTTGAGAACTCAGAATCGTGTAGAAGATAGGAGTCAGGAATAGGGTATGCAAAATAAAAGTAGAAATCTAGTTTGCCATATTTTACATTCAAACGAACCAGGTAGGTGAATATTTGAATGTCACTGGTAGGATTAGGGAAAAAATGTAGGTGATGAAGGCAAGGGAAAAAGAGAAATAAAAGCGGTAGTGCTAGTAGAATAAAAGGGAAAGGAAGTTCCCCAAATGGAATGAATTCTAAAATATATACACAGACACATATATATCTATTATCAATCCAGATCCAGATATATATGCATATGAAGTATGGATGTATATATTTTAAAAACACACAGACACCTTTTACAAGAATATATGAATGCACATTAATTTTTTGCACATAATTTTGAAAAATCACTTTGATTATTCATGAAGGTGTATATTTTTTAAACCATCATTTACTTTTTCGATACTTTTTTTGCAAAGATAGTTGTGCTGCCAAGCAACTTGAGGTAAAGGCATTAAAAGGGTTAGACTACAAGAAATGAAAACAAAACAATTGCGATACTTCCTACAGGAGACCGCACAAAAAGCAGTTGGCTGGTTTCATATTGCATAATGATGCTGTGTTCCTTGATGAAGTAAACAATCTTCCTTGTATTAACATAAGGATCAGACCTTGGCCCCCACACAGTGTTGGTTTCTGTATGGCTGGAGGTGTCCTTACTCAATTGACTCCACTGGAAACATACGTTGTATGTCAGTTCATCTTTCAGTGCTTCCTCTCAGAGAATATACTTGGACTATTTAAGCAAAGTACATTGTGCGTAAGGTATCTTGGTGAATCTGTACAGCCTTGGCAAGAGCTTGTGGATCTCGCCCATTGCTCTGTCCTGAAACGTGACTTCCTTCAGCACTGTAAGAGAAGTGGCAATGAACACAAAAACAAACTTTCTATTCTGATGTAATGATTCCGATAAATACTATTTGTTGTAGAAAATTTCAAAATTATTAACAAATAAGAGACTGGTGTAACAATTTATGTGTCCATCACTCAGCTTCAATCACTATTAATTCAAGGTCAATTTTGTTTTACTTCTCTCATCTCCCCAGAATTAATTAGAAGCAAACCCAGACATCATATCATTTTGTCTATCTATCGGTATCTATCACTTTATTACCAATAATCTCTCCTTTGCTTTAATGTGGTAAAGCAACTAAGTTACTATATCATTCTATTACTAACGAACTTAGACAACATATTTCAATAGGAAACCTTGGGCAGTCAGTTCTGACTGTCGTCACTTTTCACATGGATCACTGACTCCTCTAATAGCTTGGGGAACTTGAAAATCCTAACATGCAGACAATATTTGGATTTGGGTGAGAACCTGTTATGTTTTTATATTACCTGTCATGTTCTTTGTCCACAAGATGATATCTGGCTCTAAATGCTACCAGGTGAGCGTAATACGCTGGTGCAGGTATAGAAACAGATCGTGTACAGCGTACATAAGTATGGCAGAGCTGGTAAGTTAGCAGCTGAAGTTCATCTGCAGTGAAGCAGTTATCATCCCATAAAACATGATAGTGTGAAGGACGACTGGTACCCTATAGAGAAGGCAATGACATACACTGTTGAATTTTGAACTCTTTTTGTTTTGTTTTGTTTTTTAAGACAGAGTCTTGCTCTGTCGCCCAGGCTGGAGTGCAATGGCATGGTCTTGGCTCACTGCAACCTCCACCTACCGGGCTCAAGTGATTCTCGTACATCAGCCTCCCCAGTAGCTGGGATTACAGGCATGTGCCATCACGTTCAGCTAATTTTTTGTATTTTTAGTAGGGACGTGATTGTGCCACGTTGGCGAGGCTGGTATCACCTGACCTCAAATGATCTGCCTGTCTCAACCTCCCAAAGTGCTGGAATTAGGTGTGAGCTATTGTGCTGAGCCCAATTTTGAACTTCTTAATTAATATTTAACACCAAGTCACATAAAAAACAGGTTTGGCACTTTGGGAGGTCAAGGTGGAAGGGTAGCTTGAGGCTAGGAGTTCAAGACCAGTCTGCACAACACAGTGAGACTCCATCTCCACAAAAGTTAAAAATAAAAATTAGCCAGGTGTGGTGGCATGCACCTGTAGTACAGCTACTTGGGAGGCTGAGGCAGGAAGATCACTTGAGCCCAGGAGGTCAAGGCTGTGGTGAGCTATGATTCCACCATTACACTCCAGCCTGGGTGACATAGTGAGACTTTGTCTCAATAAATAAATGAAATGAAATGAAATGAAATGAAATGAAATAAAATAAAATAGAAATGTAAAGCTGGGAAGATGTATAAAGAACAGTTTTTAGTCTCTGTGAAACATTCTTGGTTATTTGCTGACTACAGCAGAAGTTTCAAACTGATATCCTAAAGGAAAACTGTTCAGGCTGGGCATGGTGGCTCATGCCTATAATCTCAGCACTTTGGGGAGGCTGAGGTGGGAGGACAGCTCAAGCCCAGGAGTTTGTGACTAGCCTAGGCAACATAGGAAGACCTCATCTCTACAAAAAGATTTAAAAAATTAGCCAGCTGTGGGCCGGGCGCGGTGGAGATTGAGACCATCCTGGCCAATATGGTGAAACCCCGTCTCTACTAAAAATAGAAAAATTAGCTGGGCGTGGTGGTGCCTGCCTGTAAGCCCAGCTACTCAGGAGGCTGAGGCAGGAGAATCGCTTGAACCAGGGAGTTGGAGGTTGCAGCGAGCTGAGATTGCACCACTGCACTTCAGCCTGGTGACAGAGCGAGACTCTGTCTAATAAATAAATAAACAAATAAATAAATAAATAAGCAAGCAAGCAAGCCAGGTGTGGTGGTGTGGACCTGTAGTCTCAGCTAGTTGGGAGGCTGAGGCAGGAAGATTGCTTGAGCTGAGGAAGTCAAGGCTGCAGTGAGCGGTGATCGTGCCACGGCACTCCAGCCTGGGTAACAGAGCAAGACCCTGTCTCAAATAAATAATAAAACAAAAACAGGCTGGGTATGGTGGCTCACGCCTGTAATCCCAGCACTTTGGGAGGACAAGGTAGGTGGATCACTTGAGGTTAAGAGTTCGAGACCAGCCTGCCCAACATGGCAAAACCTCCTCTCCACTACAAATACAAAACAATGAGCTGGGTGTGGTGGCATGTGCCTGTAGTCCCAGCTACTTGGGAGGGAGAGGCAGGATAATCGCTTGAACCTGGGAGGTGGAGGCTGCAGTGAGCCGTGACT